GCGCGCGCGCGCGCATCAAAGAGACGCGCGTTATTAGGCGCGAGCGCGCGAAAGCGCGAGGTCACCGAAGGAGCGTTCCGCCGTTCGACGCGAGGAAATCGCGCGTATTCCAGCGCGCTCCGGAGGAGCCGGGGAGTCCTTTGTTTCGCGGATTCCCTCGAGCTCGCGATGGACAACCGCGATCTTCGGAGGTGGATAGATGGATGGGTGAGACTGGATGGAGGTGGATTTATTACACGTTCTGGGAGAATATCTCTCTCCCCGGCGCAGGAAGAAGGAATACAAATGGAAGCATTAATTAACCCTTTAACTGCTGAGATATTAAATGACCAGTATAACCCTCTTTGCTGAGTTATTTTTACCATTATAAAATATTTTATAATTTGCTGATGATCCAGATTTTCACAAATTCACATTTTTTAATTTTTTAAAAAAATACCACACGCACTGAAAGTCCAAATCGAGTAAACTCGATCGTAGCAAGGCCGCCATTTTTTTCCACACTCGAGTTATCTCGACCGTAGCAGTTAAAGGGTTAAAAGAAAAACAATCTCGTCAAGCGTAACTAATAGAATAGTTACACGGTACACGCTGACGTTAGGTATCGAAAAACTCGATTTTCAAATTTTAAGTTGATAGATAAATTTATTATAAAGAAAAATTTATCAAAACGTATACGATATACGGTAGAAAAAGTGTAGGTACGCAGGTACTAATCGAATCGGTCAGCCATCGAATCAGGAGATAATCATAAAGCTATGGAGAGATGAAGCAAGGAGAGAGAAAAGAGAGGGAGGGGGAGAGAGAGAGAGAGAGAGCCCAGCGAAATTGCGACGTTATCCCGATGCAAATGCGCGGCAAAGATCTCCAAACGATCCCATCGTAGGTTTCATTTGCGCGCCAGCGTAGTAAGCATGCTCGTGTAAACGACGGTTTGTACACTCGAGCGCGGTGCAACGCATTTGACGGAAATCGCTTCATCTCCGAATGGCTTAATAGACGTACGATGTAATCTCGCGTTGGTTATTCGCGACAACGATCTCGCTTTTTTAGCGCGCGCGTATTCGACGGGCGCGCGCGCGCTCTCGTATGATTACAAGCGGATGCGCGAGAGCCGTTCGGCATGCAAATCCCTCGCGGAGCATTCGATTCCTAAACAGATCCTTCGAATCCTCCCCGTGGAGATCTCCGGCTCTCGCAATTTTCTAAATAATTTCCCTCGGATCGAGCAAGTCGATATCATCTTCGTTGCTTTTCGCGTTTCCGCAGCGCCGCGCAGATTAATAGAAGCTCGATTAATCTCTGTTCGAAAAAATAAAAGGTATAAAATACGAGTATAAGAAAATAACGCAAGAATGAGAATGTTAATCTTGAGTGGAAAAAAAAATCAACACATGTACGTCGCAAAGTCGGGACGGCGAACGTCGTCCTCGCGATTTTATATTTCGCTTTCTCGCGACCCCGCGATACGTGCCGTAATTGCACGCTCGATAATAACTGCCAGCGATTATTGTTAATTACTGTTTAATACGAATAAAATTGTGCTGACGTCACGCCGGGCCGCGATGGGCTTTCCTCATTTTTCAAATCGCGTGTGACCATAATTGCGAGCCGAGCGTAATTGTGAGTAATTATTGGCAATTATTCAGTAATCCGAGGTCGATCGTCGCTCCCCCTCCCGCCCTCCGTTGCCCGTCGCGATTGAAAAGCCATTTATAAACTTCTGACAGGGTGATTTTTCTTGCGAGTTACAATCGGCAATTTCGCGAGATTATGCTCCGCTCCATAAACAAAGTAATTACCAGGAATAACTTCAAGGGACGCGCGCATGCGCGAGCATCTGCTGATTAAAAGCTCAAAGCGAGTCTTTCCAGAGAGGACCGTCAAGTCCTTTTCTTCATAGCTGGCAATTTACAGAGTTCTCTGTAAAGCTAGCGAAACTCGAATATCTCTGCGCGAAATACGGAAACTCTCTCGGCGTCGCGTTACACGCGTTAACGCGGGGAGACATGTGCGGCTTCTCAGTTGCGCTCGTTTTGTCCATAATTATCTCGAAATTGACGATGAATACGCACTTTGACGGAATACGCGCGTGACTAGTATCGTCGACTCATAATACGGTGTATCGGTGATTATTACACCAATTGATTCGCGCTCGGAGGAGGAGCGCGAGAGCCGGCGGTTGCGTGGCGAAAGGCTTTAATTACGCGCGTCTCGGCGATGACGAAGACAAATACCTAAGTGCGATTGCCGGTAGTAAACTCGTCGGGTTTTCGATCAGCTGGTCCCACCGTGACTAAAGTCCCCCGACGTGCCGTCATGACGCGGGAACGACGCCAGTCACCACCTGGGCGAGCGATTGAGTTGCATCGGTGACTCCGGAGGATCATCTCGCGCCGAAAATGGCGTCGATAGCGCAATAAGAGGATCTTTCTCTCTCTCTCTCTCTCTCTCTCTCTCTCTCTCTCTCTCTCAGGCGACTATGACTACCCCTTTTGTTCAATTAAGAGCGGTCGCGCCGTATGTTTTGCAGCCATGTATGTTCTCTAGGCCAATCGAGTGCTTCCTCATTTGTTCTTCGTTTGTTCTTAACGATTGCCTCTAATTTGCGTCTAAGATGACCATTTCCGGGCTACACGCGGAGAAAATGTTGCGATAAAAATTGCGGCTAAAGTTATATTCCTGCTTGTAGTAATATTTTTGTGCGATTGAGGTGCCTCCTCGACGTTGCGGTGTATAAATCGCTACAGAAATAACAAATGACAGAAAACAGGACCTTTCGTTACAATGTAGTATAGCGAGAAGTCAAGCGCGCGTGACATTTTTCAACAAACGTATAATTCCGGCCATATTTCCGTACGGTTCAATGTTAGAAATAAATGTTCTTGTAATTTTTACTAACTTCCTTAAAACTCGCGCACTGACCAATCACATTCTGACATTGTCCGACAAGAGGACTCAAGAGTATCCTCTTGAGATTGCCGGTTCCGCCTATCGTCTCTCCGCGTGTCAGCAGCCCATACGCCACCGGAACGTTAATTCATCCTCGAATCCGCGTATGTTCTGTCTGTGCGGGAACCGTGTACCCTGCGAGAGTCGACAGCACGCACCTCAGGCGTGACTGCGTTCTCGCGCGCGGCGGGCCGACTCACGAAAGCACAACGGTTGCACGGCGGTTGTGTGTCACGCCTAGTAGCCGCGAATAGTTGCGTCGGCAGAAATTTTAATCAACGGTTCCTCCTCCCGGTGCGGCAATGACGATGGCGGCGGCGGCGGCGGCGGCGGCCGCGGAGGTCCGCACATACACACATACGCGCGCGCGTACGCAACGCGACGTGTAGAGGTGTGTTGCCCGCCGCCTGGTAGCTGGCAGGACGACGCGGCCGGGGAGAGAGGTTAATCACCCACGCTGGATTTTAATAAACGGTTCGGGGGGCAAACAAAGCTGGCCATCAATAACCACGGCGCAGCCTCCCTCTCTCGCTCTCTCGCTCGGTCTCCTTCGCTCTCAACGGGGGCCCCACGGCCCACCTCGCCGACCGACCCGCGGCCATGCCAGGGCCTTTGCCACCAGCTTGTCGAGCGCAGCCTCGCGCAGCGGACAGCGAGATAGGCGGAGATCGTATCTCCGTGGTTATTAATTAACCGGCGAGAAGGGAAGGCCCCCTTTCATCACCTCGCAAACGATCTCGCCTTCAGCGAGAGGGCCCTCGGCCTTGCCCTAGCGTGTATAGACGGCGTACAGCTGCAGCGGGGACTTCTCTCTTTCTCTTCGTGTACTACTGTGATCATCGCGAGTGCGGCCACGGCGATAGATAGGCGTTACGAGTTCGAGTACGTGCGTGGGGGGGATGGGGGGGGGAGGGGGACTGTCGAAAATGGACTGTCTTAGGCGAAATCTCCCATCGGTGTGATTGAAACGTCCGTCGCCAACTGGAAAATTCCGCTGTAAGGAACTGTAAGAAAGATTTCTCCGCGCGAGTGGCTAATCAGTCAATTGTTTGCCGTTGTCGCGTGCGAGTTTGGATAAACCCAGTCCCACTGCGACTGCGAGATTTTGCCAACGGTAGATCGGAAGTTGCTCAAAGTTCCCGGCCAACCGCATTGTTTCTGACTGCATTGTTTCTCACGAAATATTGATCCTCCGGAGGAAAAGTGTCAGAAAAAGAAGTGTCAAGAAAAAGGACATTTCATATGCGTCAGTGAAATGGGTTATCGCTTGCATGGAGCCCACACAATCATCGATTATTAATCATTTAAATCAATCTTTATATACGTCTTTTATCGATCTTTCTAAATGTTATTACTCTTCTGAGCTACTGACTGCGCCTCTCACGGAATCTTCTACAGGAGTCTCTCTCTCTGTTTCTACAACCGAGCTTTCGTCTCGCTCACCAAACAGCAGAAAATCAATCACAAACCGAGTTCATTTCATTTTTGCTACTAGTTATAGTGACACGAAGATTCCACGAGTATGGGAGCGAGAGAGAGAGAGAGAGAGAGAGAGAGAGAGAGAGAGAGAGAGAGAGAGAGAGAGAGAGAGAGAGAGAGAGAGAGAGAGAGAGAGAGAGAGAGAGAGAGAGAGAGAGAGAGAGAGAGAGAGAGATGCAATCGTGCAATATCGTCGTCCATACGCGAACTTGATCCCTTATAATGCACTCGGTGTGACATTTTATCACTCCACGTCGCGACACACGAGCGATACAGAATCTCGGCTTAAGATGAAGCAGGACGTTATATCTTACCATCGGGAAGATTACAAGGCAGGATGCAGTGCGGCGGTGTCGCTTGTTCTCGCGCGGAGAACAGAGAGACGCGAGATTTACGCGTCTAATTTTAAGCAGCCGATGCGTCAGCGCAATTTCGACAAATGCGATCGCCGTTCCCGATACGGAGCGCGCACGACGGAGCGAAATAAGACTCAGCGAGATTCCGCGCGCGACGCGGCGTACACCCCGCTGCAAAATATCAATACGAGATACGGCGTAATGGGCACTTACCCGTTTATGGATGTTCGACTGATGAACCAGGATAACGCCGACCTGGCTAACGAGTGCCATGCCTGCAGCGGCAACGAGTCGGATCTCTCGGCGGATCTCACGAGGAAAATTTCGGCGGCTTTGTCGGGCTGGTCGGCGTTGGGGCCACCGCCGAGCGGGATCCACAGGTCGAGCAAGTCCTCTCTGATCTTTTTCTTGTCCACTTTGTACCACTGCGAACATATGAAGGACGATTGCGTCAGTTTTATTATCACAGTTGTGCTTCCTCGTCGTCTTATTAGGGATCTGCAAGGAGATTTACACGCAAGTACGTTCAATCGTTCTTTCTTCGTTCAAACATTGTCGAGAAGATTATAACGAATAGTAGTGGGAATAAATGTTCAAAACACAAAATCCTAGGGGACGAAAAGAAATCCTTGACGGACGTCATGTTTATGGGAATTTGAAGTCGAATCCTTTTCTTCTCACTTAAAGGGGGGAAAATTACACATGCCGTTTCCGCAACAGGCCGTTTCTAAGGCTATTTTTACGAATTTCTTTAACAGAAACAGAAAGGATCGATGGACTTGAAATTTTCACAGTGTATTCATTAATGTTTAAAGTATAAAATAAATGTGTTACTATCTATATGGAAAGTACATATAAAACTTTAAACGCGTTTATCTGGAAACACAATTTTCTTAAACTGTCGGCACGATTACGAGAAAATTACTGAACCTAATATTATTAAAAATTATTGAACTTGAAATTTTTACACAATATACAGTAGACATGTAATTTTCGCCCCTACCTCGAACACAGGTTATATTTTATTTTATTCATTTTTTTAAACATGATTACAAGTTGAAAAAAGTTTCATTTTCGATATTTTTTTTGTACAGTCATTATTTTTCCAAACTTGGCTTCACTGCTTTCATTTTGGTACGGGCTATAATGGCAACCATATATTTTTAAAATCTTCCTCATTTCTTGATTTCAGAGTAATGAGAGGTCCGGAATTATGTCGATAGACAAACATAGAGTTCGCAAATGGATGACTGCATTTTTATCTATAATTACAAATTGGATCGGTTCTTGTGATTCAATAAAATTTATTTTATACTTTAAATATTAATGATATACAGTGAAAATTTCAAGTCCATTGATCTTGCCGTTTCTGTTAAAAAAATTTGTAAAAATAACCTTGAAAACGGCTTTCCGCATATAATTCCTCCCTTAATAGAAACACGTTTACGCTATTTTTACTTTCGTTGCTTCACCTGTTCGTGGTGCTATTTCAAAGATACTGACACGCATAAGTATGTTAAATAAGTTTAATTGTTTTCTTCATATTGATTTGTTTCTTTTTTTCAATATTATCGTCGAAATATTAACGACATTGCAAAGAAACATTCGCCAAAAACAAAAAATCCTATGAAGGAAAGAAAATCTTGTTACGTGTCTCATTTGTATCACTTTGAAATTGAATCATCTCTCTTCTGATGTCAGTAAGACAATTTATGTCTAAAGAGGTTAAACGTCAAATGAAGCTAATGCAAATTGGCCTTATCGAGATTTTTGCGCGATCGCGTGATAAACACCACCGAATGATTTTTTAGTTTTATCTTGGCATCGCCGAACGATAAGTGAAATTGATCGAATTATGCAGGTGACGAGCTAGACTTTTCGCTCGAAATTTATGCGCCGTTAGAGATAAACAGCACGGCATTTTCAAACAAGATATTAGCGAGAATCGATTTCGCACGAATGATCGCGCGGAACTTACGGGCGGAATTACTCGACCGCTAAAGTCATCGCGCGCGCGCTGTGCGAAGTACATCAATCTGCGGGTATAAAATTCGCGAAGCTCCGGTGCGTTCCATTAACGTCCCACCGGGTGGCCCGCCGAAAATGTATTTCTCGCTTCATTACGGCCGCGTATTACGGTATTAACGACACGTATATCCTTCGGTCGCGGATCAATTTTCCCCTCGGAACCGCACAATATTCCGAGCGTTTGCACAGCTACGCGTTACCGTTTTTGCAAATCACACAAGCGCGTGATCATCGACGAGTGGATATCTCGTCATCGTCGTCGTCGTCGTCAGTTCGTTTCGACGAGTTTCGACACACTCGCTAATACTCGCCGGTGAAAAAGACAAAAACGAAGGGAAAAGAGGCAGGAACAGCCGTGAAATCTTATATTTCATTAAGGTGCCGTGCGCGCTGTCGGAGCGTCGCGTCGGCACAACATCTTTCGCTTCATTATCGAAGGCGCGTATCGCGACATTAACGATATTCTCTCTCTCTCTCTCTCTCCCCCCCGTCCCCGACGCTCTCCGCGCGTTCTTGTCGTCCTCGGAGAACCGCGAAACGCCACACAGTCCGAAAAGCAATTACGTTGACCGGTCGGTCGGTCCACCGGGCTCCGCGCTACACGACAGATATCCGATTTCACCGTCAGCTTCCGAGAATGAGAACCAATTACGCGGCCCCGGGGCATTAAGGAATCGATCTAATTTGCGCGCGCGCTCGGCGGTTCGGCTCGGCTCCGCTCAGCTCGACGCGGCGCGGCATGGCGCGGCGCGGCGCGGCGCGGCGCGGCGTGGCGCGGAACGGCTACTCTTAATGGCGAGAGAGCCGGCCGATGAAATTATACGAAAATGTAATCAAGGCGCTTTTTGTCTCGTTTCGCTCCGAGCGGGGCAGGGGCGTAATTAGGAATGCTTTTGCACTTCGCGACGGGGGACACTTGTTGCTCGCTCCGCTCCGCTCCCGTCCCGCTCCCTCGTGTTTCCTTCTCACGCGAAGCCTCTGTCTCCGTCCCTTTTTCCCTCATTTCGCCTTTTCCCTCTTTCCTCCGTCCTGCTCTTCCGCCCTCGTCTCCGTCTCGCGATCGTAAATCGTTTTCTCTTTCTCTCTTTCGTTCTCCCGTCCGATTTTTCTTCCTTCTCTCGATCTCTCCTCGTCGTAAATTTCTCTCTCTCTCTCTCTCTCTCTCTCTCTCTTTCTCGCAGCGGCTCCGGTAGTCGAAAGTAGGCAGGGGGTGAGGAGGTGGCATGAAAAAGGAAGAAGGAGCCGGCGGGAAAAAAAGCCGGGAGATGGAAGGACCTCGCCACAGAAGGAGAGTAATTAACACCGTGGTGCCCAGGTGCGCGGCCCTAAGAAGTCGTTTATGGATTGCTCGGCTGCCGCGGCCACGTAGCCGGCCATCAATTAGATTCTCTAATTAAAACAGTCCGCTCTTCTCACCGCGCGATGCATTAACTCCGCCGCCGGCAGGCTCGCGAAAGGGGAGAGAGCCTGGCGAAGTTACGTCGATCGACTTTGTCATCGTCCTGCCGGGCGGAGGCGCGACGGATTATCGAGTTCTTTCTTGTTGGAGGGTCTGCGGACGATTCGCACAGTGCGACGCGTCGATGAAGCCAGCGATGTGACACTCGCAGCCTCTCGCGCTACGGACGCATCACTCGCGATCCACGAGGTGAACGTCCCAATTAGCGACAGTGTCCCGATTTCTGACAGTTGCAACCGATTTCCTTAATAGATCGGCTAATACATCCAAAAAAAGTATTCTACTTGTAAAGTGATTTTTCCCATAGTCTCTTTTATAGAAAAAGGATTCCTCTTTCGATAAAGTGAGATTAAAGGGAACCATTCATCTAAAATTTATTAGATATTATTCTGTTTTCCTTTTATTTCAAGAGATTTCCTCTGATACCAATTAATTTTCCTCTTATATCAAGAGAAACGCTTGTCGACGTTTTTTCTCCTCCATCTACTCGCATAGAGACATTCACTCTGTGCATATGACGATCGTCGCCACATTTATCTTGTCGACGACGTCTAGAGCAGAGGAAAAAAGAAGAGATCGTTATTCAGTTTATGTTGTTTCTCCCGGTTGTTTCATCATAAACAAAGTTCAAGAACTTTTGAAGAAAATCAACTTAAAGACATACTGGCCCATTTCAGCGTAAGTATATACATTTATCATATTGCGTTGCACTACATTAAATGCCACTTAGAGTATTTATGCATATTGCATATTATTTGCATAAAATTAAAGTAAGAATAAATAATAATCTTCTTAAAAAAAGATTAAATAATCTGTGTATAAGAGGAAATTTATATTAAAATCAATAAGATTTGCATTATATATATAACATATAATTCCTCTAACTTTAAGAATAATGTATTTATAATATTTAAAATATTCCTCTTAATTTTGGAGGGATCCTCTTGAGACCACATATAAGAGTAAAATCCTCTAAAATTTAGATGATTTCACTTGTTCTGAAATTATCGTTTTTTGATGTCGCTTACAAGGCTCGAACAAAATCGAGAATTACAGTAAATGCTGCAACATTGTAAGCAAAAGTCTGATTGTCTGGCTTGTGCAGCTGTTCTTCAACTTCTTTTTAAAAGGAAACTCTGCTAAGGAAAATATATAAAAATAAACTTTCATGCCATTATTAGACGGCCACTTTAGCCATTTCTGAGAAAATATTAAAAGTGTATTAAAGTTTTTTCATAAATTATAAAAATACGGCGTAATTAAAACGCCAAATATACAATCTTTCCAACGAAATCAATTTGTGTACTTAGCTCAAAAACTATATTATTTAATTTGTTTTTACGATAAAGTTACTTGCTGCTAATTGGAGCATTCGCGTTAAAAATATTTGGTGGAAGAAAGGTGTAATTCGGGGTGTATTAATTTGCGGTAAAACGAAAGTTACGGTATTTTGACTCGGGACTCGCCTCGATTCGAACGTACTTACTTTGTGAACAACACTTATAATACATTGACAACTAACGATAAATGGACGTAGCAAATCCTTTCGAGATTAATTTCAAGCTGATATAAAGCCGAATATATCCGAAGAAGACGCGATGAGGAAAAATCCGAGGTAAAAACCGTAAAACCTTTCCTTTACCGCTAATTAGAGTTTCCTCTCGCGGAATGCTCCGTTTTCAGATGCCAGATTTTCCTACGTCGATGTCGCGATCGACGGCCGTAATTGTGTTTCCGATAAAGACTCCGTTCGTTTCACGTCTCGTGGAGATCGACCAGTGGAGAAAACGAACGAGGCGCGATTAAACTCGCGACTTTGCGGTTGTCGTTCGCGAAATTTGATTTCCGATTAACGCGTAACGGCACTGCGCGGGAAGATACATCTGGCCGGCGCGCGGTCACGACGAGAGTTAAACTCTTTCTGCTTCAATTCCGCTC